ATAGTAAGCCCAACGAATTGCAACAGTTATTGGAGAACGATTCAACGCCGAACAGTAATTTTTCAAGTAACAAAATACACCAAAATGCAAATCCCGTTGGAATGACCGGCAAGAACTTGTCAAATCCAAGCAATCCTGCAATAAATAATAACACTAATTCTGTGCCATCTCCAAGTATGAACAATAATGCAATGGTTTCTCCAGCAAAAATTACAACTAGTTCAACAAATATGGCATCACCTCAACCTTCTGTACCAAACCTGAGTGCTGCTGCTAATATGAACTCACAACATCACTCTACCTCAGGCCCACTCAATACTACGGCACCTTCCAACTCTCATGCGATGACTACAAACGTGGCACCATTGACTAGCATGCCTCAAAATTTTCCTGTCGCATATAATGCTGCATCGCCGCAAGGACTAGTAAATCCTGCAATGTTGCCGACAAGAATGAGAAATGGTCCCATATCAATCCAAAACTCTAGTCCTATGCATAATTTTGGAAGACAAATGACATCAGAGCAAGCAAATCATATGAACACTGTCAATTCGCTGACAAACAGTACTATGCCGACTATAAAAACTGAACCCAATTACATGATGGGACAGCCTGTAATGGCTATGAACCAGGGAGGAATGGCTGTGAACCAAGGCGGAATGGCCTTGGGAGAGGTAAGATTAAAATAATTGATTGTATTTCCAGGTAAATAATCACGGTTAAGTAACCCCTTATTTTACTTGAGTTTGTGTTTTTTCTTCATCTGATTGTTGAATGAATCTAGATTGTTTTCATACCGCACAATTTATTATTTTGCTCTGTCTAATGCCAAATGATTTTACTTTGTGTATAATGCCAGATTATTTTACTCTGTCTAATACCAGACGATTTTACTCGTCAAGGGTTGAGCACTGGCACTTGATGTGCCAACAGCCTATTTAGATGAACCTGGCTAGGTTGGATGGGACTGTTGCTAAATCCCACTCCTAAGATGTGATAATCTGATCCTACTTCCATTTGATCCTGCCTGGTGGGGCGGGAAATTCCCATTTTCAACACTCTATCCTGGCTATAGTCCGAATGAACTTGGCACAGAGCCCGCATCAATGCCGGCATGGAAGTCTTACATAGAGATGTCTTTAAAAGGTTTTTCTATCCATAATATCCATTCGCGCTTGCTTTCTCTTGCTGATTTCCATATTTTGCATCAAGTGATGTTTCATGTATACGTGGAAGCACATGTATTGAAAGGCCTTCGCTTCGGCAGTCCGGCTAAGTCTGGCGAAACTGGCACTCTAGACTGGCGAAACTGGCGCTCTGGCAAAACTGGCGCTCTGGCGAAACTGGCGCTCTGGCGAAACTGGCGCTCTTGCATTACTGGCAAAACTGGTGCTTTGGCGAAACTGGTGCTCTGGCAAAACTGGCGCTCTGGCATTACTGGCAAAACTGGCGCTCTGGCAAACTGGCACTCTGGTAAAGCTGGCAAACTGGCGCTCTCGGGCAAACTGGTGCTCTGGCAAAACTGGCAAAACTGGCACTCTGGCAAACTGGCGCTCTGGCAAAACTGGCGCTCTGGCAAAACTGCATGGCGCTCTGGCAAAACTAGCAAACTGGCGCTCTGGCAAAACTGGCGCTCTAGCAAAACTGGCGCTCTGGCAAAACTGGCGCTCTGGCAAAACTGCATGGCGCTCTGGCAAAACTAGCAAACTGGTGCTCTGGCATTACTGGCGCTCTGGCAAAAATGGCACTCTGGCGAAACTGGCGCTCCGGCAGATGGGTAAAAAGCCAAAAACGTAGATAATTTTGGCATATGGCATTCAGAGTCGTTATAGATGACGTAAGACATAGTCTGTATAATTACCATATATTATTTATAACCATTTGTATATTATTTGTGAAGTGTTGTGTGCTTTGCTACACGGCTTAATAACCAGGGTTTATTTATTTTATTTATTTAGTTACTAGCTTTGTCATAAATGACTGGTGATCCCTACAGGGCTTATTGCCCCATTCACAGGGTCCCTTAAACTAAACATTTACTTCAATTACAACACATTTTATCTAAAAGGCTCGACAAAGGACGACACGAGTGACATTTAACACAGACAGTTTTAAACGATTGTGGTACATTAATGTCATATATAAGTTCAGTCATTTCGTGATAATATTTCAACAAGTATGATTTGAATTGGCCAATTGTGACGTCAGCGTCACGGATATATTACTAAAATCACTAAACTGGCCACATCCCGCTAAGAATTTCAAACGGGGAAAGACGTTTGATAAACGGGGAAAGACGTTTGATAATTCCAAATTCAATTTTCGTTCAATGATGTGATCAAATTGTTTCATCATTTTGGTCACATGACTTCACGATTTTGTTATCAATTTATTTTTGTACATGGGTTTCTAATTTTATTATCCAATCAGGTGCGTAGTTTTGAATTAAACGTCAGAAATTCGTTACTCAACAGTCAAGTTTTTAAACGTAAACAAGGTCACAAACATCCAAACGAAGGTCAATGCAACAGAATATATGAAATATTCGTTTTATGTTCATTTTAAAGTTCCATAATCGTAATAAACAATCTATCTAGTATCTATCTTATAATATGATCTGCCTTTTAGCGAAAATATGATCTCCATCTTGTAGTTGTAATATACTGAGCTGTTTCGAAGTTGACTGGGAATAATTAGCACTGTCAAATCGTGAAGTCATGTGACTAAAATGATGAAACAATTTGATCACATGATTGAACGAAAATTGAATTTGGAATTTTCAAACGTCTTTCCCCGTTTATCAAACGTCTTTCCCCGTTTGAAATTCTTAGCGGGATGTGGCCAGTTTAGTGATTTTAGATTTTTAGTAATAAGATCTAGATGGGAAACAATTATACCTTATTATAGGAAATTAACGATGCACTTTATTAACGCGGATTTTAAAAATTCGCGTTAATTTAATTAAAGTTAATTTATGTTATCGTTAATTTTAAGTATGTAATTTTTATTTATCGTTAGTTAAAAAGACATTGATTTGTTTTATATAACACTAACTCTTCTAATATCAAAATACAGCATATTAACGTAAACTAAAAACATCAGTGCTCCTCTCAACTCAGTTCACTATCCGATTTGCGTTAAATTTAATTAATTTGTCAACCATGGAGATCAGATTCGCGCGTTAATATAATCATCTTTTAAAAGACCTAGAAGCAATCCGCGTTAATTTGATGTCGCGTTAATTTATGTCGCGTTAATAAAGTGCATCGTTAATTTCCTATAATAAGGTATGTTCTAGGAGCTCTATTAAAATAGCTATTTTGAAAAGTTAAAGTGCTAACTCTAGGAACATTAGTTAAAATACTTTTAGTTGAATTGTGTCTCGTGACACGACCACTGGACTTCACAACAATGTTTGGATCATTTGACTTCAGAGCTTTGAAGAAATATACCAAATCCAGGTACTCGTGCCAGTAGCACAAAGAAAGTAACCCTGTTAACAGCAGCCGATCTTTATAACTGGTTTCAGACTGAAACGATAAGGATAATATAAACCTTGTTGCACGCCTTTGTACTTTCTCGAGATCAAGGATAAGTGCTACAGATTGTGGTGACCAGACTTGTGAGCTATACACGAAGTGACTTCAAACTAATGTTTTATACAGTGCGGTTCTTATACGTGGATCGCGTATGTCGGCTGAACTCCTTATGAATCCCAGTATTTTGTTGGCCTTTGTACACACAGCATTAACTTGTTTGCTCCATTTGAAATCTCCAGTAATTAAAACGCCGAGATCTCTTTGTACAGCTAGTTTCTTGATCAGTGAGGTGCTAGTATGATCATCATTGATCAAGTGATAGGATGACTGAACAGAAATTACATTTCTTGTCACTGTGAGAACACCACATTTAGACTGATTTAGGGTCATACGCCATACTTGACACCACTTGTTGATTTTATCAAAATCGCATTGGAGATCCCTAACGTCCTGGGCTTTAATTATTGCACGATAACACTTGGTGTCATCAGCAAACAGGGCTACGGACGATGTCGTGGTCTGTTGAGGCAAGTCATTCACGTACATAAGAAAGGGTTAGAGGCAGTACCAGATAAATTGTGGTTCTACCAAGCATGAGAAAGGCTACTTGCACTCCCCTGCAACTCCTTCTAATGGGCAAAGCTGGGGACGTTAATAATGTTGAAATATACTATAATTGAGTTTTCAGTAAAAAATTGCTAGCAAATGTATAAACAGATGCTTCAATGTTAACGTTGTGCAAAATTTTACATTACAAGCACTTTAAAACTTATTCAGAAATTTACCATAAAAAACCCTATAAGTTGCAATTATTATCAAGCCTGAGCTTCATAATTCTAGGAACGATTATAAAAATCACAAACTGCATGTTAGCAATATATTAGGCAAATTATAATTATATTTAACCATAGTCAATAGATATAAACATGGTTAGGAAGGCCGGTAAACTTCAAAGAATTTCCTATTCAAACTTTAATTGATCATGTTGAAATGTAATTCCGAGTGCACAGATCTTTTGTCTTGCGTTTGTTAATATTCAAATATTACAGTTCAGCGAAACAGGTGGGAAATTTGTCGTCGCTGACCAAAAATTGCGGGCAGAAACAAAGCTCATTGCATTTACATTCAAAACAAAGCAGAAAGTTAGCAAGAAGCTGTTTTAGCTGACGATTTTTTGCTTTCCATTCAACGATTTGCAAATTATTGGTTATTCTTTTAAAAGTCAATCATGAATTCTTTGTTTTGGGAAGATTGTTTTGTAATCGAGTGATTGGAAGAAGTTAATATGGCGACGTGAACATGGGAGTAAATACCGTATACGTCGATCTATGGCTTGTTTAAAACCGTAATAAACGAAGAAAGACGTGAGTTGAGAATGAAATGTAAGTTGAAATTAACTTTATATGCCTCAAATTTTCCATCCTATGTTTCATAATGTAACTTCAGCTGTCTAAGTTCAAAATACAAGCTCGCGAAATTTGACAAATTTTGAAAATATGTAAAAATAGCTTGACTTTGAACTGTAGTTTCTCAAAAATAGCCTGTGGCCTCAATTTCAAATATAGCTAAATGAAAAGAAAAAACTTTTCGGCGTTTGTAGGTATCAAACATATCGTCAGGAAAATAGGGGCTCACAATGTTTTAGTTCAGTCTTTGAGACCCAGTTGCTTCGCACGTGTTGTGGTCAAATTTTTGCCAAGAATCAAAGGCCGAAATGTGAACTTCCTTCATGAAAACCGCTTCGAGAAGGGTCTAGTTTGAAAATTTAGCTATTAATTTTGATTTCATGACCATATTTTGGTTACACGTTAAGTATTTTTGTGCTTGATGAGATTCAAAATTTGTTGTATATTCAAGCCCGGCTTTTGTGTAATTTTGGTGATGACCGGAACAGAAATAAAGATATTTTAAAAACTGGCCGTGGCCTCACGATAAAAATTTCTACAAATGTTCTCTGTTTCATGTACTTTTATTTGATATCTTAGGTATAAGCGTAAAAATAGGGGCTCATACAGTTTGAGAGGTTGTAAAATGCATGACTTGCCTCTATTTTCATGTAAACATTCGAAATTCTACGACAGCAAATAGCAACTGTTTCAGATCGAATGCACACGGACAGCCCACCAGAGACAATGGCAGGGTACTGAAATAGAACGTCACTAAAAAATTCTGTATGATTAATTTAGATCATGTCTACTCTTTCAACATAAAACAGTCATTTATTTTGTACAAACATTTGGCAATATTTACACGATTATGCCTTTTTGTAAGCACGCGTTGCGTGTATTCCACGCAACTGCGTGGCTCATTTCACTCGCGCATGCTCAGACAAATTTCCCACCTGTTGTTCAGCGATTGAAACTAAGGTTTTTATTGGGTAATCGTCTCATTATACAGAATCCGAGTGCACAAATTTTCATAAACTTGGACAAAAACATATCAGAACATTAATGATTTTGTCAATCTTCCAAACCATGTTTATTTTTTACAAACTATGATTAAGTTTAGTGCATGTTTGCATTTTAAACATTGTATGTTACACTAATCCTGATGACTCCTTTACAGAATGCACCTTCTCAAACACCAACTGCGGACCCAGCTGAGAAGAGGAGACTTATCCAGCAACAACTTGTTCTGTTACTTCATGCGGATAAATGCCAAAGACGGGAACAAAACATGACAAATGGTGAAGTGAAGTCTTGTAACTTACCTCATTGTCGAACCATGAAAAATGTTTTGGCCCACTTGAAAGTTTGTACATCGGGGAATTCATGTGAAGGTACTGTATGGTACTATTGTACTAAGTCATCATTTCATAGAATGTTATTCACAGTTTTTACATGCAGATATTTATTTTTATTATCAAATACACTGCACTGTATACTGTATAGGTCTGATCAGCTAAGTTGTGTTCATATCTGTTGCTACATATTCACTCGCATATATGATCTCACTTATAGTTAACTTTATTCGAAAGTTCTTTGCTCACATTATCAGAACAGTGGTGAACAGGCATGTGAGTTATATAAGATGTGTTATTTTAAGTGATTTTGGTAGCAATAGATGTAGAGACTTGCATGTGTTAGTTGAGTTAAAAGTAATGATTCCTTTGTTAACATTTTTGTAATGTGTTTAATATATCTGATCAGGGTTGAGGGTTCGGTTGTACGAAGGCCGGATAGTGATTTTTTTCATCCGTTGTAAAATTGTTTGAAATGCCATTAAACTACAGATGTGGATTCCACAATTAATAGAAGGCGACTTGAATTTTTATATACTAAAGTTTAAAGTTTAACAGGCAATTTAAGAAAGCTAAAAAATCACTATAAGGTGGATAGCGCTATGCAGCTTTCGTACAACCGGCCCCAAAACATTAAAATTTCATTTTATATATTCCTTTTTTCAGTTGTTCATTGTGCATCATCAAGACAAATAATTAAACATTGGAAAAATTGTAACTGTGACTGTCCAGTTTGTTCGCCTTTAAAACATCCCAGGAGAAACAGGGTCAAGGTATGTATATATGTTGAATTTTAGTTTCGAATGTTGAAATTAAACTTCACAGGACTAACATGATTAAATAGTACCTGTATATTTTGCAGCGGACAAGATTCCTGAACGAAATGGGGGCCTAAAGAATGGCACTGATCAGCAGGTTACAGCAGGATAGACATCCGCATGGAACATTAAAACTTATTACCAAAAGAAATAAGAGAAAGAAAATCTCTCTCTTGTTTTAAAAATAAAATTGCCACTCACACCCAGGGGCGCACATCTAAGGAATTTCTAGGGGGGGGGGCACTTGTGGACCGACTTTTTGATATTCAAAAAGAAATTAAACAGAGGGGTAAAAAACAATTCTGCAAAAACATCATGCCACAGAACAGGGACGTGGGAATGTATTTGAAATCAGGGGTTCAGGTCTCACGAGGCGCCACCATGGTTAGCATCGAGCGAGAAAATTTTCAACATTTAGAACCTCTAGGTCGCCGGAAACGACCATTTCAGAGTCTTAACTCTACCTTTTCGGTAGGCTCGTTCAGGTGTACGAACGAAGGATTAAGAAAATTCATCCCTTATTTAATAGTTCGCTCAATTTCTGCATTTGTTCAATCTGTTCCAGATCAATAGAATCAGATAAGTCTTTTTCTGAACTGAAGAATCAAAACATATGTATAGGCCTATGAGCTCGCGTGTGAATACCAGGACGTGTTTATTAGTAATGTGTATGAGCTGTCATGAGAATATCCGTTCGCAGGCCACAGGTACGAAATCGGATAGTAGCAGAGAGAGAGAGAGAGACGAGTTTATTTCTTCGAATATAATTGTTACTTTCGTCCGTCCATATAAATTACTGAAAATAATGAAAAATAGAAGTGTATAATAACAACTAGCAAAACAATGAAATCAAGATAATAAATAATCTGAATTAACCATCTAAACCTTAGCGGGTGCGCTACGATTTGACGTTTAAAAATCAAGAAATAGTTTCTTACACATTAACGCATACACACACAGGGGGCCCCACTATGAGTTATAATTGAAATAATATTGTATTTATTTTTAAAAACCTACTTGAATCCCTTGATAATCGATTATTTCTTCTCTCGAAATTCTGTAAACATTTTAAACTGCTTGAATCATTATACTATCACTCTACATGAAGTATAGGTAATCGCTGACAAGTAAGAACGCGGGCGCGGAAAGACGAAGGCGGCGAAAGAAGGAAGAATTAAACTAAAGGGTTGAAACTTCGACTAGATGACATTTCTAAATGCCTTAAAATTCACAATTTATCGGTGTTTTCGAATATTTTTTTGCAGATTCTATGTCTTTTTGGATATATCTTCACAACTGATGTAGTAGATTCGATAAACGATTGATTTTTCGTATGTTTTTACATGAAACACTCGAAGCGTTTTTTCGCACAATGTGTTCCATAAGTAGGTTGTTCTCGTGACGTCAAGTATAATGAGTCCGAGCCATTTAAAAGGTTTACAGAACTTCGAGAGAAGAAATAATGGATGATCAAGGGATTCAAGTAGGTTTTTAAAGATAAATACAATATTTTTTCAATCCTAACTCACATTGGGGCCCCGTGCGAAATTTCCGGAGAACAACCTACTTATGGAACACATCAAACGATGACCCGCCGAAGTTTCAACCCTTTAGTTTAATTCTTCCTTCTTTCGCCGCCTTCGTCTTTTCGCGCCCGCGGTCCTTACTTGTCAGCGATCATCTATACTTCATGAAACGTCATGTAGAGTGATAGTATAATGACTCCAAGCAGTTTAAAATGTTTACAGAATTTCGAGAGAAGAAATAATCGATTATCAAGGGATTCAAGTAGGTTTTTAAAAATAAAGACAATATTATTTCAATCATAACTCATAGTGGGGCCCCCTGTGATACACATAGGCTTGTTCATAACATCTTACCAACCAGCTCTTGTGTTGTCGGTCCCAATTCACGGAGTCGGACAGAAGTAAATATTAATTCTTATACCCGAATTTTGGGACCGAGTTTTCGCACAGTATCAAGGAAGAATGGGACCGACTTTTAGTGATATTCGGACGCTAAGGGGGGTTTCGCACCCCTTCAACCCCCCCCCCCCCTAATGTGCGCCCCTGCCCACACCTTAATTTGATGTGACAATAAAATAAAGTATGCTGCTGTAAATAGACTAATAGACAATGTAGCTTAGTTCTTTTCTAAACTTCCCTGTGAACATGCAGTGACGTAGCCAGCCAGCCAGGATTTCTAGTCAAGGGGGGCCGAAAAACATCGCAACAATTCTACCCTACGGCCTACGCTAGTTCGAATAACGTTTGTTTATTATTTTTGTAAAAATGTATTTGGACTCGCACGATATCCATGCATAATGTAGAACAGTGAACTTTTAGGAGGTCCGGGGGTATGCTTCTCTGGGAAAATATTATATAATAATCAGCATTTTGGGGGCAATTGTAATGGAAAGCAGTTTAAGGTGATTCGTCAGTTTTGCATTGCGCACTTTTACTGCGCATATCTAATAACAAATTCTAGCTAATATATGTAGTCGAACTGCACTGTAAAGTGATAAAGAAAGAGTAAGGCCAAAGAGAAAAGTCTCTGCATTTATTAGGCGTGCTTCAGGCAATATACCTTCAAAAATGACAGAACTCTGGCTAAGGCTTCTGTGCAACTATAACACTAAACCACATCATGTTGCATGTTTATTAACCCTTGTATCTCTTTAAGAAGGTTCGTGCAGAGCACACTTTTTTAAAATTAATTTTATATTTTTGTTCTTCTATACGTTTTACATGTCATAGCAGAAAATAAGAGAAAAATCATTTCTACAAGTTATAATATTTCACATTTTTCGCGCATGCTTCCCAAAATAACATGTCTGACAAGATTGGAAAATACATCTTTTTACACCACGACAATGTACGTCAATGGTTTTTGATTCGCTAAAATTCCATGTTTTCTTGTATAAAATCACTAGATAGACATTTTTAGTAGGATCCTTGTTAAAAAAATTCAATAACGGTTGAGTAATTGCGATTGTTCCCAGCCTTGTACCCAGGCGCTTTGGTTTGTTACGTCATTAAGCGCACGTGGGACGGCACGCGAGGGAGAAAAACGGAAAATTCGGCGGGAAGCGCCTGGTAGAATTCGCATTCAAAATGGCGGGTCAGTGTTCTGCAAGTGTTCTGTATTATTTATATTAATTATTATTGAAATGACATTGTTTACAGCAAAACACGGGTTCGTACATTGCCATTACTCTTTGGAGTGCAATATTTAACTTGTTCATACTGTTTTTATAGTATTAACTATGCAGTCACTACAGTGTCATGATTTTGCTGTTTTTGTTCAATATCACGCATTGTATTTATTGTATTCTCCTCAAAATTTGTGCATGGTTGAGATACAAAATTTGATTTATTTGTTAAGATTTGTCAAGTATAATTTAGAGCCACATGGTTCGAATATAGCCATATATAGGTTTTGTTTATATTTTCATTAGTTTAATTTGACCTTGGCTATAGGCCAGCTAGGTGTCGTGCGGGATATATCGCTTTTTATTACTTGCCAATTCATGTTTTGTTTGCAAATCACTGGTTATTTTGACCCTGGAAATATTTCTGGTCATTTTAATCATTCTCATAATGGTTTAAATCCAGTATAACAAGTACGATCGTACTATAGTGGACTAGGAACTGCGTGACCCAGTTTCAATCTTGTGCAAATCGTTAAACATTCAAAACCTTCGAGATTTTGACTTGATAAACAAATAACTAGACACTTGTGAAACTAATGTTCTCGAAGTTTGCAACGTAGACTGAGTTCGCTAAATGTTTTGCTTTAATTTGGTCATGCAAGATACACTTTATCCGAGCAAAATGTGTCTAGTGCCGTGTGTATATAGCCTAAATGAGGTGTAAATCTGGACAAAGCATAGATAACTAAATGCGCAGTTTTTAAAAGTATTTCCTTGCATTTGAATTCGATAGATAAGTTAAATGTCCCACAATATTTAGAATAAACATGCCGTGCCTACGTCAGCTAACTTTTGCCGTAAATCAAATTTTGCCTTGCCGTGCCTGCCATTAATTACAAAATAAGTTAAGGTAACAAATTATCTGAATTGTTGCAGGTTAATGCAATTTCATCTCGCTTAGTCATGGCTTCATAACTGCATGCTTATGCTAAAAACAAATTTTCATGTCTTTGTTTTTACGGTTCACGATTTTCTATCGGACTATGAATATTATATGACAGCCAGATAGCAATATTACTCCACTACGCTTTGAGAAAATTTAGTCAACTTAACGCTTATAATTAATTGTTATAATCAGTCGTTCACATTCTTGAGAAGCTTTAGACTATTGTGATTGTGTTCACAACAATAGACAAGACAATGTCTTTCTTATCGTTTGCGTTTGCTGATATATTTGCTGAATATTAATGATATGTATATATTATTTGCTACGAATACAGTCAAAAATTGCTTGTATCTTGCTTCTAAAGTCAAAAATGAAAAACCGAACACCGTCAATCGATGCGGAATATTGCTTAGAATAATTGTGTCAAATTTCATTCCGATCAGGGGCCGGTTGTATAAAACTCTTAATCACTTTTTTAATCACTATTTTGTAGTTAAATAGTGATTAACTCTCAAATAGGCGCTTCTTATTGGATGACGTTTGCACTTAATCATAGTTAACTTTAATCACTTTTTTATACAACCGGGCCCAGACAAGTAATGATGGAGCCTTAGGGTTTTTTCAAAGAGCGTCGCCCCCTAACAACAACAACAACAACAACAACAACAACAAGATTAGCAGCGATTGGGGACCAGTTCCTGGTCCAATAAACGTAAACGACTGCACTACACTCTACAGGACGACACGAATATCTATTGTTATATATAGTTAGTGTCAAAGTTCAATTTTTCTGTTTGCCGATTGGTCAAAACCGTGTCACGTGCCGGTCCACAAAACGTCATGTTCGGCAACCGGTCC